TAATTCAGAGTGGGTCATTGGCCAATAGTAAAGCATAAGCAATAAAATTCTTAAGAGAAAACATCAGAGAAAATCTTTATAAATTTGTATATGGCAAAGAGTTCTCAGCTATAACATCAAAACACAACCTGAAAAGAAAACATTAATAAATTGGACTTTACAAAATTACAGTTTTTTTTTTGTTCTTGTCAAGGACACAATTAAATGAATAAAAAGACAAGCCACACAGGGAGAAAATACTTGCAAATCACATATCCAACAAAGACTTGTATCCTGAATATATAAAGAACTCTAAACATTCAACAATGAGAAAAAAGCAATGCAACAAAGAAATGGCAAAATTGTAAAACAGACACTTCACCCAAGAGGATATATAGATGGCACATAAATATATTAAAAGATTCTCAACATCATTGGTCATCAGGAAAATACAACTTAAAACCACAATGAGATGCCATTAGATATCTTATTTGAATGGTTGCCATAAAAAGTACTGACAAGCCAAGTACTGGTGAGGATGTGAGGCAAAAGGAACTCTTATATTACAGATGAAAAATGGAAAAAAACCACAGCCATTCTCACCAGATAATTTCACCTATAGTAATTTATCCTAAAGAAATGAAAATTTTATGTTCACATGAAAACCCATGCACAGTTATTGAAACCTATACTTATCTTGAGTTCTGTTTTGATCTAATCTGGAAGGAATGACTTTGACTCCAAAGAGAATTTATAAGACTTTGTGCAATGTTCTTAAGAGAGATGAGCCAGAACTGTCCGCTAAGAGAAGGGGACTTGGGGGCTGAGAGAGAGGAGCAGCCTGAGACTGACACAGGGAGGGGGGATTTCTGCAGACACCAGCAGCTTTGGAGGCTTCTCCTCATTATCTGGACATTATTCTCAGGGGTTCTGGGAAGGCACAGAGCCTGGAGAGCAGTGGGCAAGCTCTCTTGGGAAAAAGGATTTTGCTCAGCCAGACTTCAGTAGTTCAAAGTCAGGTTAATCTGGTTTCAAGAAGAAAGGTGAGATTTCTTACACCTTAGTGACATGGAGCAAATTCCTGCTGCTCCTTAGAGGTTAGTTGGAAACCCAGGAAATGGACGTGATGACCCAGGATTTACCAAGCACCACGAGAAGAGAGCTGTGGGTGATCTCCTGGCAACACCACCACAGAACTTGTAGAAGACTGAGAAAGAGCAGCCAGAGGGCCAGAAGGGAAACTGGAGAGCTCAGGATGGTCCCTGAGGGTTAAAGGCTGTGGAGAATTCCAGGAAGATGAGAACTCAGGAGGTCCACCATATATGGCAACACAAGGCTCACTGGTGTCATGGAGCCCCATGCTGTGGTGTGAGGAGTGGTGAGGGGCCAGCTGAGGATGTGTGCCCCTCCCAGCTCTGAACTGCTTGACTCCATTGGTGAAGCAGAGGTCACCAGGCAGGATACTAACTTCTCCTAGAAGAGAATTCTTCCAGGGATAGGCAGCTGCCCTGGTCCCAGTGATGACAAGAAAGAGCAGGGTGACTTCAACTCAGAGGAGATCCATGAGTTAAAGAAACCACCCGCTGGAAGATCCATCTGCCCTAGATGGTAGTATCAAGTCCTAGAAGGTCACCCCATTGCTACAAAAAAACTAAGAGGAAAGTTTCTGCAGAGAAAGAGCTAATATTCTAGGACCTGAAGATTTATCCACATTTCCTTCTCACCTCATTTTTTTTGGTGAAAGAATATAGTGATAAAAGATTGGCTCTTTATTTATTTATTTAGTTAGTTGTAAACCACAATACCTTTATTTTATTTATATATTTTTATGTGGTCCTGGGGATCGAACCCAGGGCCTCATACTTGTGAGACAAATGCTCTGCCACTGAGCCACAATCCCAGCTCCTCTTTTTTATTTATTTATCTATTTATTTCTGCAAATTCAACATTTGTTCAAAGGTCACAACATACTAATCACTTTGCCCGGCATGTTTACATGTATTATTCCATTTAATTTTGCAACAACACGTGGGATTGATATACCCATTTTAATTATGAAGAAACAAAGATGTTGACTTGCCCAAGATCACATTGCTAAAATCATGGAGTCCAAGATCACATACCTGAGTAAGCGGTGGAGCTGGAATTTGTACCTCCAGGTACTTGATTCCAACCCTAGTGCTCATTCCTCTACAATGGTGTAATTAATAGGAATTATTCAAAGCAGATTCCCACGTCCTTCCTTGCTTGAGAAGTGAAGAACCACTTGTAAGACTCAGGGCTTGGACAGAGAAGGCATCCTATTGTGTCCACATCCCCTGCCCTGCTAAAAGGAGCTGAGTTGTGGAGGATCAAAAACCAGGCTGTGCCCTTACCTTTCTAAGAGGTGTCGTCTAACAAAGCCTCCTTCCTGAGTGGTCCAGATCTGTTTATCTCCAGAGCATGGTCCACCCCCCCCACACACACACACCACACCCCCCGTTCTGTGGACAGACCCATTGTAAGGCCACCAAGGTGCTTACTTCTTGCACTGGGCAACATCATTTTCAAGCAACAGGAAGCCTGCACCAATGAAGAGGAAGTTAGGGCATGAAAGGTATGTGCCTTTCAGAGCCACCCACCCACACTGAGGAGACATGGAGGTGTCCTGGGTGACAGCCTGTAATGGCTCAGGAGGATGACCTGGAAACCAACTTCTTAAGTTGAAGTTGGGGGAGGGGCCTCCTCCCACTCAGGACGCCCTGGTCCAAGCTTCCAGACACTACCTAGACTAAGCTCTGGTCATGTGACACTCTGAGGAGTGTGCCCAGCCTTCTCTGGGGAGTTGCCCCTGCCCCTGGAAAGATCCAGAGCCAGACGGTGAGCCTAGGAGGTCATAGCCAGGAGGCCTCTGCCTGACACTGGAAAGCAGCGTGTGTGGAGCGCAGAAAACAGCTCTTCCAACCAGACAGGCTGGTTCAAAGTCCAACTCTGCCACTGGGTTGTTGCGTCGTTCGGGGAGGTTTATTTCAGTTCTCGTGGTCTTTGTGTTCTCATCTGTAAAATCAGGAGCTCAACCCTGCCTACTGCACGGGGTCACTCTGCTTAGAGGAGAGAGAGCACATCAGGTGTTCAGCCTGGCAAGTGCTGGCTCTTATCATCATTATCCTCGAAACCCACCACATGCAACAGCCCAAAACAACAGCTAAGCCATTGTGGGAAACAATGGACCTTGGGAATTTAACCAAACCCCAGAGGCAGCTGGATCTCCAGTTAGGCTGTAAGTGACTCCTTTGCCCAAGAGCCATCATCTGCCCTACACCCGACACACTCATTTGGCTTCCCTCTCCTTCCCCAGGGAAATTTCATGGAAATTCAGCGTTCAATAGAGTTGGCAAAGCCAGAGGCTCTGACTGGTACTTGGCAATGCCTGGAATCAGGGACACAAGACAGTGTCCCTGTACCCCATCACCACCATAGACCTCCCTGAAGATTCTGGACCACTCAGGGAAGCCCATCACCCTTCTTCTGTGAGTTTTGAAGACTTTATAGATGTCCTGGGCCAAAGGAATGTGTTTTTCTATCTAGAGGTAGCTTTTTCTCTATTCTATTTTTCTGCTCACTCCCCCATACACACCTGTCAATCAACTTAGGCCCCAGAAAGCCTGAGAGCCATGGGAAAGGGCCTGATTTCTGAGGAGAAAGGAGTAGAAATAGCCCAAGTCCCAACCTTCTGCCCAAGGCCTGGCTTCTGAGGTGACCACCAGCTGCCTCTGGTGAGCAGAGATGTCTGGTTGTCCTCCAAAATAAGTGCTGGTTCTCCCATGGGATTCGGCCAATGAGGACAGTTCCCAGTATGACCTCATCTCCTTGGTGTCATGCGACATGCTTGCACAGATGAAATGGGAATGGAAATGGCATGCACCACTCTGGGCCAGAGCATTTCAGAAGTGCATATGCCTTCTTCTTGTTTCTTTTCTTTTCTTTTCTTTTCTTTTTTTCCCTGGTGAGAAGCAGACAGTAATGGAAATGACAACATCCCAAGATGGAAAGCGAAAGTCCTTGGAAAACCATGTGCAAGAAAGCCTACTCCTAATCAGAACGGCTTTACCAGACTAGCGGGTGAGAAACAAGCTTTGATTGGGTTAAACCACGGCATCTGTGGGAACCATTAGAGTAGGTACGTGTTACTCCGCCTAGGCCACCATCTCCTTCCCACACCTTCTTGTGCAGATGGAGCAAGAAAAGAATCAGAGGAAGGATTTGCCCTGGCATTGATAGAAGAGACTAGAACAAACAAAACTGAGGCATCCAAAGGCCTCACACATGGGAGCAGGCCTGCAGAATTCTGTGGCATGGCTAGAAGCATGAATGTTGTGTGCATTGGCGACATGGGTGCTGGAAATTCACCAGTGGGATCGAAATCACTGAGGTCTTTATATTAATTGCAGGGAACGTGACTGCAGAGCATGAAAAGGTGGACCTTTCAGATGGGAGCACCATCTGATATTCTTGAAAATGGCTGAGTAAGCATGGGAGCCTCCTTGCAAACATGCCTCTTGCCGAGCTGGCCAAGGCAGAGGTAGAGGAAAAGGAAGAGGGAAAAGGACAGACCATGGAGCACCCTTCCCTCTGCCCCTTCCACCTGTCGTCTACTTTGTGAAGCTCCATCTACTCTTTACGACTCATTTGGAACCTCACCTCCTCTGCAAAGCCTCCCTGACCTCTCTAGCTGTGCCCAGAAGACTCCTTGTTCATGTTCCAAGCATGGTATCCACACTCCACCAGGGCTGCCATCACCCTGGGTCATGACCCAGGTCCTGGAGGACTCTGTTGTCTCTGTACCTCCTGGGCCCAGCACAAGGACCTAGTGGAGTAGACGCTGATACAACCTATGAACAGGTACATGAATGGATGTGTGATTAAGTGAGCAGAACCCAAAGATAAGGAACCCAAACTAAGATCTGTGACTGAGATGTCTGGACAGTGGTGGGCAACCCTGATGTTCTACCTAGGTGGCCAGTAAAACACACAACCGCTTCTGCAGGTCACACAACTTTTATTGCTGGGCGCTTCCCTTGTCTCCAGTCTTGATAACAGTCCCCGATGTACCCAGCCTCATCAGATTCTGGCCACCGCCAGCCTGTCCTTCCAGGGTTGTCTCTTCCCTGGGTGGCTGCCTGCCTGGACTGGGCTGGGCTGATCTGCTTGACCTGCCTCTGAAGATCACAGCACCACAGGGCCCTCAGATGGCCCCAGGAGGGAAGTACCCCAGAGAAAAGCTCGGGGAAGCCCCAGGCCTTCAGTTGGAAGGAGGCTAGCTGCACTGATGGCCTGCAGGAGCAGGGCCTGCTCAGATCCCCCAGGGACGCTGTTTGGAGGGCCTGGGGGCCATGTTCCCTTTCTCTCCATGGCCATTTTCAAGTAAGTTCCATGTTTCTGGAACAACAAGGAACTGAAAGATTGAGAAAGCTGAGAACAAATCCTCATAGTTCCAGGATAGTCCTGGACAGGAGGGATGCTGCCCACGTGAACTTCCCTGGGGCTCCTGGGGCTAAAGAGGAGCAACACCCACGTCTTCATTTCTTCATGCCTTGGCTGTAGCCCCGGAGGCAGGAACAGTTTGTGGTTCTCTTCGTGTTGGATTTTCCTGCCAGCCCAAATGAGGATTTGCTTCCCTGAGTATCTCAAAGGGGCTCCAGTCACTGTAGCCTTGGAGATGTCCAGCAGGGTCCTTCACCCAGTTCCTTGAAGCCAGAACAGAGAGTAGTGGTACAACTCCCATGAGTCCCCTGGAGTTATAACTCCCAAGGCCCCAGGAACTTCTGGAGAATCTTTAAAAATACATCTATTTCTATTTCTTAAATATAAAAATAAAATAAAATCTGCCCCAATAGCTTGTGACCAAACAAATACGGTGTGCCCGAGCCACAGTCATCAGCCTGGACAGCGTAGTTCAACTCCGGGAATCCACAGTGCAGGAGCCTGAGCGAGAGTGCCATGCTCGTGATGCCAATGGAACTGGCTTTCTGCTGAGGATGGTCCAGGCATGGAAAGGCTGGCACTCCCAACAAAATCATTTTCTGTCCCAGGACAGCAATAGTATCACTTGGGATGCTGGGTATCTGCCCACTCTGGGCTAGTTTTCCTAGTCAGGGTTAGAGAAGCAAGAATTCCTGATGTCACTTTCCAGGCCCTTCCCCAGGCTCTGTGCTGGCTTTGCCTCCTCTGTCCATCTGTGGGCTCCCCATGGGAACATCCACAGAGTCCAAATTCACATCTCCAGAAGACTTCCAGCCTGAGATTCCAAGAAGAGTTGGCAGCTCTCCTGGTTTCTGAAGAACTTGGAAGAACAGCCGCACACACACACACACACACACACACACTCAAAGAGGCAGCAGACAGTGGAGGTGGGATTAACGAAGGTGCCTGGTGACCATTAGCCCAGATATTGACATGGCACAATGCCTTTGGCCAGAGTCTTCAAAGCAGCTCATGCCGTCAGGTGGAGCTGGTTAGGACTTCCGGAAGCGCACCTCACTCTGAGGAAGAGAGGAGAACAGAAACCCAAAGTGAGCCCAGTGGTCACCTGGCACTGCCACTCAGAGAAGAGAGGCAGCAAAGGAAGACAGAAACATCCTGAGAGCCCCATGCGCTGGTTTCTGGCTGCTCTGAGCTCTCCACTACTCTGCCCTTGCCCCAGATCCACAGCTAGTCTCCCAGCTACAAACAGGGGGCCTGGGGTTGAGCTGGGTCAGCAGAGTTGGGGGCAGATCCTGCTTCCTGATGCTCAATATCCTGCCATGGAGGGAGTCCTCCTAACCCACTCCAGGGGTCACTTCATGACCTGTGAGAACTCACACTTTGGCCATCCCTGAGAGAGAAGAGGGGTACTGAGGCTGGGACCCAGCCCAGGTGGACCCTTTTACTCCCTCTGGGATCTGTTGAGGGAAGGAAAGGAGGGAAAGAAACCCGGACAGCTGGAGCTGGCCCCCGGGGCCTGACATCTGACTCTGCCTTGAACAAATGCAAAGGGCCAAGGGGACTTCTGTTTACACCCCAGGAAAAGCCTGGGCCCTCCGCCAGGCTCCCACTTTGGGGAGTTCTCAGTCTGCCTCCATAGTGTCCCTGGGCAGGGCACTCACCTCCATCTTGCTGTAAATCCAGGGGAGGACTTCTGTCACTTTCGTGTACACACCCGGTTTGTTTCTCTGGCCACAGCCTGTGCCCCAGCTGGTGACACCTGCCAGATACCAGCGGTTGTTCTGCTCACAGACAAGAGGCCCCCCGCTGTCTCCCTACAAGGGAGAGTCAGCATGTCAGCCAGGTGGGGAGGCCCTCCCAAGCAGGAAAGGGTGGGGACCTGGTTCCCATGCCAATCCCAACACCCCAGCCTTCCCCAGCCTGGGGTCCTGGGCCCTGAGCCTCACCTGGCAAGAGTCTCTGCCTCCGCGAAGGTCCCCAGCACACATCATCCGTGGGGTAAGGTAGCTGTCGTACACTGAGTAGTCATTGCATTTCTTAAAGTCAATAAGGCTCACTTGCACCTCCCTGAGGAACGGGGATGTCTTCTCTTCAATGAAGTGAGAGTAGAAGGAGAGAAGATGGGAAGCCATTGAGACTGGACGGCTTCATGGCCCTCTAACCACACACCACAGGATGCAGACTCAGTCTCCTGGGAGCACAGGGTGCCACCCATGCCTGGACCCAGGCCAAAGGAGGCTCTCTGTGGTGGGACACCCAAGACAAATGGGTACACACACCTTCTCACAAAACACAGCTCACTGCATATAGGACAGGGACGTACATACACACAAACTCACCAGCCTGTGTGGCCACCTGACACATTGTAACACGCTGGTGCATGTGTAAAGCACCATCAGCGATGTCACTTCATATGTTTTCATAAACTGTGTGACCTAAAGAGGGAAGGCCTTACCGACCCACTTACAGGGGGGCAACCTAGGGCTGAAGTCACAGCCACATGGCTGGTCAGTGTTTGGCTGAGCTCAAACCAAACACTGCTTCATCTGACGAGTCAGGGAAAAGTGGCCCGGACTTCATGGAGCTGGCCTGAGTCCAAGAGCCAGGCTGGCTGGACTGTGCTGTCCTCCTGAGGGACATGAGCAATCTTATAGAACTGACATCGGGTAAGGCACTCTGTGACTGGGACACAGTAACACAGAACAACAAGAGTCCTTCTCTGTCCTGTTTAAGGTAAGGCCAATAAAAGGCCACTGTGCAAACCACACAAACACAAGACACCCCCTCTCTCAGCCACATGAGGGACCGCTGCTCCTCCACCACCATAGCTATAGACTCTCCCTTCCTTCTGGATAAGATTATTAAGTTCCCCAATTATAGAGTTTCCCCTGCTGCCCAACTACATCCAATCTAGAGAAAAGTCCTACTTCTTTGAACACTCCCATGCCACCCACCTGCTGTGCTGAGCCCTTCCCAATGTCCTCTGGTTGAAATGCCCCACAGTTCTCCACCAGGTGAGTTCTCCCTCATTGCCATGAGCACCGAACCCAACTTGTTCAACTGCAGGGCCTTCCCTGGTGGTCTTGCCTGGAGGGCATTGTCACATTGACTGGCTGATACATATGCAGGTGTCTGTACAACACATTCACACGCAATTTGGGGAATGATCTCCAAACCTCATCTAGATAGACCCTCATCTGTATACCCAGACATGCCCCCCACCACATGTGCACACACACATGTCCAAACGCATGCACACACAGCCTGGCATCTCTGCCTCTCACCATCTGTCTCTTTGGTCTTGCCAAAGCCCGTAATCCAGCAGGTCTCGTTGAGGCTGAAGGTCTGTCCATACATGGGGAGGCAGGCAGGGTGGATATGACCTGCAACAAGACCTCAGGTATCAGTGAAGGAACAGGCTGGAGGTTTCATTGGGGCCGAGGGCAGGAGTACCAACGTTCTATGACCCATCCTTGCTCCCAGAATAGCTCTGAATCCTCCAGGCCTTAGACTGACCAGGCAAGAAACTCAACCACTTTATGGTTTTTGTCTGTTTGTTTGGGTCCTGGGGATTGAACCTAGAGGTGCTTTACCACGGAGCCACATCCCCCATCCATTTTTATTTTTGTATTTTGAGTCAGGGTCTTGCTAAGTTGCTTAGGGCCTCACTAAGTTGCTGAAGCTGGTCTTGAACTTGTGATCCTCCTGCCTCAGCCTCCTGAGTGGCTGGGATTACAGGCGTGCACCACTGCATCTGGCTCAATCACTTTATCTCAAACCTCCAGTCCTCAGGTTTCTGCCAGAGTCTTCGAGGTCATTCTGATGTCAGTAGTTGCCATGTATAGAGATTCATAGCCTTAGAAACTGCACTGGGCCAAGCTGATACCAATGGAGGGTCTCCCCTCTTCCATGCTTTTTACTCAGAGCAAGGGACAGCTGCAGGCTAAGCTGCAAATGTTAGGGCCATGGCACTTCACGGTGTGTGCAGCCTGATGTGGGAGGGCACCTGCTGGTTGGCCAGGGCCCACTGCACTCTCTCCAAATTTTTACCAGCATGGGTAAAACAAACAAACAAACAACAACAACAACAAAAAACACACCACAAGCAGGAGGAGCACATCCCTAGAGAGGCACAACACAGCCACTGCCCCTTTGCTCCCACACAGCAATATTTTGAAGGCGCTGTTGAGTATCACTTCATAAATACCCTCTGCAGACTGTGCCCCTAGGTGGTCTAGAGCATTAGTCACCAAACTCCAACTTGCAGGAGGAAAATATTGCTTGAAAAATAGACTTTTGCAATGCTCTCCAAGGTCTGTTGTGTTCATGGCAGCATCCTGCACTTAGAATAGGGCCTGGCACATATTAAATGCTCCATGAACAGAGAGGATGAGAGGAAGAAAGGGAAGCTCTTCTCTCATAAATAGGGCTTTGAATATCAGTGTCTCCCACATTTTATCTGCTGTAAACACACACACACACACACACACACACACACACACACACACACACGAAGAGAGAGCATCAATTATTAACAAAAAATGATTTCTTTTCAATGTCTGCAGTAGGATAGAGGAAATAGGATTAGGTAGAAAGGGGACCACCAGGGAAGGGAGAAGAAACTAACTTTAAACCTAAGAAGCTCCAAGAACACCCTCACCCTCACTTCCCAGGCTTGTTTTCCTCCAGACCTAAATTCCTGAAAGGCCCAAGAATCTTAGAGTATTGTGAATCTGGTTAATTAATGCCTACATGCGCGTTGCTAGTTTACACAACTTATTTTCTTTAGAGTAAATAAAGCCAAAGGAAACTATAGTTAGAAACCTCTATAATGAGGACATTCCAAACCTAAAGATCCAGAAAAGAACCACATCACGGGACCTGTGCTCTGTGCTGCCACCGCCCCCTGCCCCCATACCTCTATGTTCACTATTTACAAAGTTCCCTTTAAAAGAAGAACCTGAGACCCCCAAATGCATCTCACTCTCAAGGAACACACATTTTCTGTCCCTTTGAGTGTGTACTCCTTGCATTCCTAAATATATCTCATGCCTCTTTCTGATGCATCCTGATTTTTTTTTTTTTTATCCTGGGGATTGAACCCAGGGGCACGTTACCACTGAGCTATATACCAATCCTTCTTATTCTATTATTATTTTTTTTAGAGAGAGGGATAAATATTTATTAAATAAATATTTATTTATTTAATAAATATTTTTTAGAGAGAGAGATAAATATTTATTAAATAAATATTTATTTAATAAATAAATATTTATTTATTTATTTTTAGTTTTCGGTGGGCACAACATCTTTATTTTATTTTTATGTGGTGCTGAGGATCGAATCCAGCGACCCGTGCATGCTAGGCAAGCGCGCTACCGCTTGAGCCACATCCCCAGCCCCCTTTTTATTTTTTGAGACAGGCTCTCACTAAGTTGCTGAGGCTGGCCTTGCACTTGTAATCCTCCTGCCTCGGCCTTCCAAATTGCTGGGATTACAGATGTTAGTCACTGTGACTCTGGCTGCATCCTGAAATTCTTTTGGGCAATGTATATCAATAGTCTACAAGGGCCAAGTTGAGGGCCACTTCTCTCCTCTGGGGAATCTCCTCAGACCTCTGTTTGGTGATGGGCCCATTTTTGAGATGCAAACTCTTAAAAACATGTAATACTGTTCTGTGTTCTGTTATTATATATTCTGCTTGTTTTAAGGGAGAATTAAATTCATCAGTGAGTTTTCACAATTTTCTCATAAAGTACTGTAACTCAAGGTGGTTGGCCTTCCAAACCAGTTTATAAAAAAAAAAAAAAAAAAAAAAAATCAGCCCTAATCTATAAACTAAAAGTCAGGGCACATAGTCTGACCAGAGGGCTATATAAATCTGAATTGCAATTTTCAAATGAAGGCTCTTCTTCCAGCTCAGGGGCCCATCAAACCCTGGAAAGGGAATGCCACTTTCTGAGAAGGCTGTGCAATATTTCATAGCTTTCATTGGCTTTAGAAACTACCTAATTTGTTTTGGAATTCCTAATAATATCAAGAAGATGGGTAAGAAGTAAGATCTGGATGTTTAACCAGATAAAGCCCAGGTCTTACAAGATTGAAAAGACCCATTCTGGTCCTGCAGACCTACAGACTCTTGTGTATGTACTCCCTCCTCAGCCCCAGTCTCTGCAGGGAGGGCTGGAAGGGGGAGGGTTGAGGGTGTGGCTCTGGTGGGCGTGGCCTGAGTGGGCGTGGTTCCGGTCTGGCCCTGACGTAGGAGCTGGCCCGAGATCCTCCTCCTCACCCCACTCTGAGGAGCTAAGCAGTCTGACTCATGTCAGCACTGCCTCCGTAATGAATGTGCCAGGAAACAGCCTCACAGGCTCAGAGCACCAGAATGGCTGGACTAACCAGAACCCTCCAAGGCTTCCAGAAATCCCAGTCCTCCAAAAGAGGCCTCCAGCTTTTGCCACCAGTGAGACTTGCTTGTGCTAGAGGATTCTGACCCCATTCTTGAGGCCCCCTTCACCAGGCCTTTGAGAATCTACCTTGGATTTCTCAGCCTGTCAAGATTGATTAGCTGCCCCCATCTGTGTCACCACAGCTTCCCTGGCCCCCAACATCACACTGGTGGCCCCTTCTGGTTGTCTAGGTGTGGGTCACCTGTTTCGTTCTGTTTGCTTTGCAATGGCAGAGCTGGCCTAGAGTAGGTGCACAGTGAATATCTGGTAAGTGAGCCCATGAGTGAACGAGAGATGAAGCCTCGTTTGGCATTCCTTGTTCGCAGTGACCTGAGCATTTCCGTGGTGCAGCCCCCTCTGGTCCTTAGCTCCAACTTCACCGCAGCTAGCTGTCGAACGTGCACTGGCTCACGCTCACGCGCTCCGCTGCAGTGTGTACAATCTGCCAGCCCAGAGCTGAGTGGCAGGAGCGTTGCTTGGGTGTCAGATCAACCTGGATCTCACAAGCTGCCACCTATTACTTGTGGCCTTAGGTAATTATCTTTCTCTAGAGCGCCACTTCCTCATGTGTCAGAGGAAGCTAATAATAGGACCTGCTCCACAGGGTTGTGAGGAGTAAATGCAATAATACATGTCACATGCTTGCCACAGTGGCTGGCCTCTGCTCAGTCACTACCAGTGCAACAATTCAACCTATTTATATTGACTAAGACCAGTATCGAAGCCCTGGCTCTGGTAGCAATTTGCAATGCGAGATGTGTCATTGGAACAAACATTTCTAATCCTTGGTCTCAATTTCCCTGATTATAAAATAAAAGTGTTTCATTTGTAAGGGGACAGATAGATGAGGATGGTGGGAACACAAAGTTAAGAGAATAATTCTACAAAATGAGCCCACTGTACTGACTCCCCACATGCTTTGTTTGCCAAAAAGCAATCCACCTGCAGCCCTGCCTGGCCTGAGGGGACAGGAAATATCATATTTCTCAACAAACTGAGACAAGGGACAGGGGATGAAGGCCTAGCAGTCAAAGTAGATAATGAATAATGGGGGTGGAGAGGATGAGGGCTAGTTATCACCGGGTTGCTAACAGCTAACCTCTGGGATCACACTTCCCAGCTCAACAGGTTGCTAACACCTCCAGGATTGCACTGCCCAACACAAGTGATTACCCCCTGTGCTGTTCCTTTCTGCCCTGAGGCATGTACACAGAGAAGAAGGAGAAGGTGGGGGATTCTGGGGGTTTATAAAAGAGCAAGACACCCCCAGTTCTGGGCCCCTTCTCTCAGCAGAAGTCTATCTCTGTCCCTCTCTTAAATAAAACTTGCTTTCTCCCCTTACCTCAGCGTTTCTCTGGTGTTTAATCTTCAATATTGGGGCAACAAGGACCTGTCCCTGATCCCCAGGAGCAGTATCCCATCTAATAATGTCTAGGAGTCTTTGACTTTTGCCATGCTGAGGGTCCAGGGCCCCCAAATGAGTCCACAGGCACTGCCAATTCCAAGGGCTGCCAAAGGTGCTGGGGAAGAGAGAAGGGGGCACAGATTCACTCACTGGACAGGGTCAGGGGCTTGGAGAGCCGCACGAGTGCAATGTCGTAGTCATCCTGCTCATCCGTGTAGTTGCCATTGATGATGATCTGGGAGATGGAGGCTGCCTCAGGCAGCTGGTGCAGGTTGTGAGTCCCCGCATACACCTTCCAGCCATCCAGGATCTTCTCCCGGGTCCTGCCACAAGAAAGCACCCTCCAGTTACCCACCTGGCAGAGTTCACTGGCAGCCCCTGCTGCACACAGGGAACTGCAGCAGGATAGATGAATTGACCTCTGGAGGGGACCACTATTGTATGAGATCCAAAGCAATCCCCCACACTCCCATATTCTGAACGAGTCATTCTGCACACATTACAATGTGATAAAGGAAAAAGGATGTGGCATTTACACTCCACTATCTTATCAGCAGGCCACCAAGGATAGAAAGCAGTGGATGGGACAGATCACAGTCATAGTACCCTTAGCAGCCTTGGAGATTTAGATGGGACAGAGTGACCTGCTGAAGACTCACTTATGGGAATCCAGAGCCCCTGAGGTCTGGGCTGTGTGGGCCCCTGAGGAGACAAGACTGACCAGACACTGTCAGAGCTGACTGCACTGCTCTCTCTTCATCCTCATCCCTCAATTCCTGGGACCGTGTTCCTGACTTCTCAGGCTCCTCTGCAGGAGATGGCATAAGCCCAAAGCCTGTTTTTCCACCCTGCTCTTCAGGGGAGGGTTCAAAGCCCCTCTTCCTTCCTGCCTCACTTTCCTGGGAGAAATCATGGCATTTTCTCACTCTTGGACCTGCCTCAACACAAGTGCTCCAACTCACACTCCAGGACAGAACAACCACTGCAGATCCTGACCAGCAGCACCAGCCTCTGGCCCAGGGGCACTGGGCTCACACCATGCCCTCCTCCACGGAGAGGTCAGTCTGCAATCCACCCTTCCCGGTGGTCCCCCATCCCTAGCAGCACCGAATCACAGGGTCCCTCAGGCACTTACACAAAGAAGCAGTGGGCAGCGGTGAGCACCCACTGGGCGTCGATGAGTGTGCCTCCGCAGATGTGGGTGTTGCCGTAGTGAAGACTGACTTGCCAAGGCCACTTGTTCTCTGAGGTCAGCGTCCCTCCCACGATCCTCCCGGTTATGGCTCTTAGACCGCAGTCTGGGGAAGTGAAGAGACAAACCATAAACTGTAAACCTGCTCCTCTCAAAGCCCCTGCCTCACTCCCTGGGTCCCCTGTAGGCTTAGGCATCCCACCCTGAAGGGTTCCCACCAGCCACCCTCCCACCCACCTGAGATGCCTCTCTGCCTCACCTAATCTAATGTGGTACAGCTGCTTCCTGCTCAAGCAGGAAGACCACATGGTGGGCCAGCATTTTGGATCACCTGGTTAGGAAGTTTGATCCCAGACAGCTTCCCTTTTCCTTCTATTCATTCGTTCAATCTTTCATTAATTTGATCAATGCTGACTAAGTGCCCAATGTTTGGCACTGAGCCAGGCATCAGGGTTTCAGGGTACAATCCGGGGTTGCTGCCAGGGGCTCAGAAAAACAGACAGATTCTAACACGACCCTGAATTGATAAGCATTGTGATGGGCATCTCTGTCATTCAAAATGATGGAGAAATAAACTTCTTGTGGTACACACGTGGACCTGTGCCCACACGATGGGTCGTTGAGTGCTGTTGGTGGCCCTCCATCTCAGGGAACATCTCCAAGCATGGCTGGAGAGTCACCCTTGCAATCATGGACCAGGAGGCAGCCCCCAGAGTGTGCTTAGACCAGTGTCTTTTTCTCCTTGCAGGGGAGAGAGTGAGGCCCTAGGGGGGTGGTCACTCCATCCATAGCCCTGTGTCCTCCCTGCCCCTAGCTGTCACTGAGAACATAGTCATTCTGGGATGGGTCACAGCCTGGGCTTCGGGTCAGACCCAAGGTCAGATACCAGCTTCTCATCTGCCAGCGGCCTGTCCGGCAATGTAAACATTTCAGCCTTACTTAAAAGGTAGGTGGACAGTATTAGTATCTGCCTCAAAGGGAAGCTGTAGGCTCTCACTGCAGCCTTGTTTGTAAAGCCACCACGCAGTGTCCACGTGCAATGTGCTCATAGCTGTTGGCTCCAGATCCTCATCTCCATCTAGGGCCCTGTCTATGGATACAGAGCCCTTAGCTTCCCACAGGCTACACTCCTGCCCTGTCCTTGGCCTTGGCCTAGAGTGCAGAAGACTTGTGTGGCTCCCTTGGAAAGAGAGAAGTTGCTGACTGACCCTTACCAGAATTAGGAGAGAGAAAATGTGATTCTAGGATGGTCCTTATGGGATTCTGGTCCCGAAGCAGGACTCCTGGCTGAGACCCTCCTCCTTGCTGAGACCCGGGCCACTCATCACCTCCTGCCCCCTGACTCCCAACCCACACACACCACAATACAAAAAAAAGAGCATCTTACGGGAACACTGGAGAGAGACGTACTGCTGGGAAGGGCACTCAGACCTGCAAGAGGACACACAGAAGGTGAGAAGAGGGCCCAGTAGCCACCTCCTCCAGGAAGACTTCCCAGCTGACTCCTGCTCAGATCCGATCCCATTTCCAGGAAGCTACCCTTGTCACAAGAAGTGGAGACTTTGACTTTCTCTCTCCCAGTGGGAAATTCTTCCTTCCAGCACTTTCTCCAGGAATAGGGATGGTTCAAAGCAAATTATCTCCATTCTCACCTCCCTCCCAGTTCTTTGAACCCAAGTCTTCACTGTTCTAGCATCTTCTACAACTAAACATGTGACCGAAGTCTCCTCTGACAGTTCCTCAGAGTAACAAGCAAACCCAGCTAACCTAGAGCAGGCATCCAGATGCACCACGCCGTCTCTCAGACCCTTGCTTCTTCTCTCCCTTCCACAAAGTAAACAATGCCAGCAGGTGGAACACTTCCCCCCTCCCAGTGGATTATGTTACAATTTGGATATGTGGTATCCCTCAAAAATTCATATGTGAGACGATAGAAGAACATTCAGAGGTGAGATCATTAGATTATGAGAGTGGTAGCAATCAATGGATTAGTCCACTGATAAGGATTCGCTGTGTGGTAACTGCAGACAGGTGGGAGTAGTTGGAGGATGTGTGTCACTGGGGCTTTGCCTCACAGGCTGGTATTTTGTCCTTGGTGACCGGTGTTCTCTCTGCTTCCTCACTGCCACATCCTGAGCTGCTTTCTTTGCTACACTCTACCACCATGATGTTGTGCCTCACCTGTGGTGCAGAGCTATGGAGTTGGTTGATCATGGACTGCAACTCTGAAACAATGAGCCAGAATATATTTTCCCTACACTAACTATTCTTGTTGGGTCTTTTGGTCACAGTGACCAAAAAAAAAAAAAAAAAAAAAAAGTGACTAAAACAGACTGGTAGAGGAAGGGCTGCAACGACAAGAATGACAGAGAACCAGGAGGTCCCAATGGAGGCTGGTGCTTCCTAGATGGGCCTCCTGGTCCCTGGCCACTTGCACCTGCAGTGCCCTTGCTCTTGATCTCCAACCCAATCCCAGCTATGCTTTTTACTGCTGCCCCAACTCCAGTCTCTGCAGAAGCTTTCAGTTCAAACACCTGGCTGATGGGTGGCCCCAAGATTTATTTGTCAGGAGCAGCAACTGAATTATGGCTCTCAAACTGTCCTGTGACACAGGGGACACCTCTCTTGGGAACCTTGTTTAAAGGCCTTGATTTGAGACTGCCCCATTGCTATGGTGAAGCCCTTTTCAATAGGAGGTTCTGTGCCAACCACAGAGCTATTCAGTTCTTGGCCTTGAGATTCAGACACCAGGTGCTTGGGGGTGGAAAGTTATGGGCACAAGTTGACAATCATAATCGGGCTGCTCATACTCATGACCTTGGCTCTGCTTACTTGGAAGAAACTTTCTCACAATAAATCCTTTTGATGTTTGTACCTATGTAATAAACGTGCTGAGCTTGTTGCGTGTCACCACCTCCTAATAGGGTTGTAGTCAACCACCGAGACCCAGTTTTTTCTCTGTTTGTGTATCTGTCTTTTCTCCATCCCCTCACTTCCTGGCTCAGAAAACTGAATTAAGAGCCGTGCAGGGGACGCGGCATTTATTAATTGTCACTGACAACCAGGCAAACTCTCAGTCCTAGGGCTCGAATAAGAACTTTTAAGCCAGTAGGCGGGGTGGTGAAAATGGAACATAACTGAGGTACCCTTGAAGGTTCATGATGGATTCCTGGGGCCTGGGTCCATGAAAGGCAAGGGAGAGGGGCTCCCTGACTCAAAGACCCCTCCCAGCCCCTCATTCCACGGCTCACAGGCAGGCAGCCTGGTTCACCCCACCACACCTGCGGAGGCTCTCCTGGATGGTGGAGTTGTACTCAGAGATTGAGAAACTGCTGGCAAAATCCCTGTGGGCCACCTCGGTTGTCCGGTAAGCACTGTGAGGGAGGAAGGAGACGAAGAATGAGCGCACTGGAGATAGAGTGCCCCAAGTTCTCCAGATGGCTTGAGAGCCCTCACCCCAACGGCCCTGCAGACAGAGGCTGGACCGCAGTGGTCTGAATGGTGGCCACTCTTCCAGGCAGCAGTCAAGGTCCCATATAGTTGGACCCCACCTGCATATTCTGCCCCAACCCACTAGCCCCGTGTACAAGCCCAGTACCTCTCAAAGTTTGGTTCCAGACAGGGAGGTCTTTAGAAATGCACATTCCCAGGTTCTACCCCAGACCTATTGAATTGGAAGCTCTGGGGATGTTCCCAGCAATCTTTATTTTAACAGGACCTCGAGGCAGTTCTGATGCAAGTTTGAGAAGCACCAATCTCTCCCTTTTCTGTCTAAACTGTGGTCCATGATCAGCGGCATCAGCATCATCCCAGACCTGCTGAGTCTGAATCTGCATTGCAAAGATCCCCAGGTTGCTGATTTGCATTTTTTAAGTTTGAGGACCCTAGACAAGTACACTGGTGACTCTCAGGGCACAGCATGCCAGGAATCCCCTTGGGTGTGTGCTAAGCAGGTTCTAAATCCTAATCACAGAGATGTGGGTTCTGAGGCACATCTTCACAAGCACCTCAGGTGATTCTGGTGTGTTTCCACTCTCTGTGTGGAAATTGTGTACATTTCTAGAATGTGGCGTGTCCTTGCCCAAAGCTGGGACTTCACACATGCTCTTCCTCTACCCAGAGGGAGGGCCCATTCTTCCATCCTCTGCTCTTTCTTCCAAATGCAGCTAGGCACCTTCGCGGTCCTGTGACCACAGAGCCCCCACGCGTGTCCTTAAGTGGAATTGTTGGTGTAAGCCTCTCTTACTAGAACATCTTCAAGGGCAGGATCACCTCTTACTCCATTGTGTCCAGGTGCCACATAGTCACTAGCATCTCATAAAAGCTCAGTGAATGCTCTTTGAATAAACCATATTTAAAGAACTGAATATCCCCGGGGGTTCAGGCTTGAATGTGGTCACACAATTCATGAATAACAAATGTCAATGGTTTCCACTGGATTACTCAGCATTTCCCTGCCCTCCACCAGGACTCTGAGGCTGAGGAGAGGGACGAGAACTAGTTTTAAGTCCTAGCCCCCAACCATGGTTTTCCAGGTGATTCTTTTACAGAGGACCCACAGGGAGATCCTAAACCTTTCCCTACAACTTCACACACAAAACCACTCAGCTTAATGACTCAGAGCAAGAGGGAGGTTGCCGACTGGAGGCTCCTTCCGTAGGAAGATCAGGATCCACCCTGCTCCCTGTTCCACCCATCATCATTGGCTCCTTGATTTAAAATCTTTAGAGTTAAAGCTTCTTATGACTTGACCTGGCCACACCTGCCCCACCTGATTTCCCATTTCATGAGTTCTAGTCCAAACAAAAACTACTACTGCTCAGAGTCCACCAAAGGGCTTTGCATAGCCTGAGTTTCTGGTTCCCAGTTGTCAGAAGATGAGACCTGACCAAACATCCAGCCACCTCGTGGGGCCTGAAACCATTCAGTGTGGCAATGACACAAGGTGCTTTGCTGCAGAGCTGTAGAGGGGACTGATTACAGCAAATAATTATCACGGGGCCTCAGGGAAACTGCTTGCCCCACACTCATAGGATCCCAGGGCCACTGCCTTTTTGAAAGACATACCCTGAGCTACTAGGATCAGCCCTGGTGGCCTATGGCCCTTTAACAAGGGGTTCCTATGATACGCCTGTGACACCCCTGCGAAGGGCCTGCTGCACCCCTGGGGCCCTTGGGAGGTTTACCTTTCAAATCCCAGCTGCCGGCAGGTCCTCTCTGAGTCGGAGTCGTTCCAGCTGCTGCTGCAGACGGGAAGCCACTCATGAGAGGACCCAGAGTAGACTTTCAGCAGAGACTGGTCCCAGTCAAACCTCACTGCAGGGCAGAAAAGGGCAGAGCAGAGTCTCAGCACCCAGGAGGCTTCGCGCTCTTGGGGAGGTGTGCAGGGAATCTCCAAGAGGCTCCTGTCCTGGGGCCACTCCCTCAGGCCTCAGAGACATTCGGGAGATTGGCTCCTGCAGCAGCAGCAGGCCAGTCCTTGGAAACCCAAGATGCTGGGCAAGGGCAGAGCCCTGTCCAGGGAAGGGGCAGGGCGAGATCCCTCCATCCACAGGACTCAGAGCCACTGGGAGAAGGGGTGCACATTGCCAGGAACCATCACCCCGAGAGGACAGTGGCATGCCCAAAGGAGAAGGTAACAAGAGAAATAAGGTCTGTGATCTGACACGACAGACTGTCACAGATGATTGTAGTTGTGGACAAGTGGTCATGTCTATGCACAGATGAAATGGACGGGCCTCATGTACATACAGGCAGCCTCACATACACACCTCAACAGAGCTGAGTGCAGACCTCACACACTCACAAACCACACACTCATGAACCATCAAGGACAAGAGCACAAACAGATCTCTCTCTAGAACTTCAAGAAACCACAGGAGTGGCAAAGTGGAGGTCACCCACTGGACAGAGAGAAGGGGCACAGGGATGGTGCTCTGGACCCCTTAGTCATCTCTAGTCAGAGCTGCTCCGCTTAGATCAGTCTGATATTTGAGAGTTGTCAGATTTTATTGGAGACTCACTAATCTTGTCCAATTCATTCACTTTACAAATTAAGAAACTGCAGCCCTGAGAAGGTAAGTGGCTTATGCAGGTCACACAGCACTCAAGTCAAGCTTTAAACCCAAGTCTACTGTAACTGGGACCCAGATTTTCTGATTCTCTGTCCATTTCCTCCTGTTTGAGCTCTCACAGTTTGCACCACAGTTAGAAGTCACCAGAACATGCATGCACACACACACACACACACACATACACGTGCGCACATGCACGTGTACACACACACACACACACACACACACACACACACACACACTCCCATGTCCAGCTTCCTTACCACAGCCTAGCTCATCACTCTTCAGCTTGCAGTCCACCACCCCATCACAGCGAACTGCGTGCTTGGGGCAGCTCTCCACGGGCTCCTTGTACTTGATTCCCGTGTGGCCCCGCCAGAAGTAGACTGGAAAAACAGAAGCAAACAGCTGGGTCACAGCCGACCCCAGAGAGGCGAGACACTGAGAAGCCCAAGGCCCTGGGGGTTCTGAGACACCGACCTGCAATCCCTCTCGGACTCTGGGGCTCTCGTCCCCCATCTGTATGGAGAGAAAGGCTGCTCAGGAATGCTCCGGAATGCTCCAGAAAGCTCCTGCAAGCAGGGCAGCCCCAGGCAGACTCGAGCAGCCAGCCACCCAGAGAGAGGAGGGGGAGAGAGAGAGAGATGGGGTGCTGAGGTGGGCAGCTCTTGGGGGTCCCCCTGCCCTGCGCGCTGGCTGAGGCAGGGGCTGGAGAAACCACCCGCTCCAGTGTCCCGAGGCCCCTCAGGACCCTTGGCATCCCCTCTTCTCTGTGCTCCACAGGGTCAGAGCAGACATTTTTATCCCTACAGTCACACACATGCAGCCACCACGGTTCTGTCCTCTCAAGGGCGACTGTCCTTCCAGCCTAGGGAGTTCCTGGGTGGGCTTCCTTCTCCCTCTCCCCTAAGTGAGGGTGTCTCCTGTGCTGTCCTTGCCTCACTACTTCCCTTTATGCCTTCAATGTCTTCTCACTCAACTCTTCTCACTCAAGTGTTTGAGAAAACCTCTTCAAGAACCTTATAGACATCAGTTTCTTGACTTCCTGTTTCTAACAGCAATCCCTTTCCAAGCCGGGAACTGTTGCCCTACTGCCTGGAGACACTCCCGCCCCCCCAAGATGCCCCAGACAGAGTCCTCATTCCTCACCCAGCCTCCTGGCCTAGCTGACTCCCCAGCCCCAACCCCACATTCTCCCACTGACCCCACGACTTGCTCTTGGTCACCAAGGTAAAGGCCACTTATTGTGACTGCTCCTTCCAGTGCAGACACAAATCCCTCCTCATCTCTTGGTCTTGCCCTCCTCTCCATGTCATGGTCCTCCTGTCCTCCTAATCCCTGACCTCTGCAGGGAGGTTCAGCTGAACACAGGGCAGTTCAGCTCTCAGAATGTTCGTGAAGTGGCCACCTCAATGTGGATGGGAGCTGGGAGGCTGGGCTCCAGTCCTGACCCCACCATGTAGCTGCACAGTGACCTTCACAAGTCACACCACCTCCCTGGCCCTGGTCTCCAGACCTCCCTGAAGGAGCCACTGGGGACTTCAGGAAATGCTCCAAAACCAGGCCAGGAGCTTAACTCTACTCAATGAGCCCAACTTTGGGTGCCACGTGCTCCCTCCGTGGGTCATTTTCCACTCTCATGGGGCAGGATGCAGGAGAGGAGCAGTGTGGGAGCACCCATAGGAGGTGCCCCATGGCCCCGCAAGGCCTTCACACATATCATGACAGACTCCACTACATGGTCATCAGGTGGGGAAACTGAGGCTCAGAATGGAAACAACTGGCTGAAGCCATGCAGTTGGTAGGAAGCAGGAGCAGGGTGTGAGGGCAGGAACTTGAGGGGACAGTACATGGCCCCCTCTCACACAGCCCTCTTCCTCAGCCACCCCGCCCTTTGCCCCACCGTCTCTGCAGTAGTATCCTTATGCCTCTGCTGCGTGGCCTGGCCTTACTGAGCCAAACAGATGGCTCCAGGCCCCCAAGTGTGTACTCTCCCCCGTGGCTAGGCAGGTCCCCTCCCTCTCCTCATTCCGGCCTTGACCAATAAGCCCCTATATTTCTAGCAGCTGCTTATCTGCTCTCAGGCCCAGTCCAGGTCAGAACTGCTCTCCCATCTTCCACGTCTCCAACTGGCCCCTGCGCCCTGGCCCATATAGATGTCACCTCTTTCTCACAGTCATGCTCAGACACATTTGGCCTGAGTTATTTCCAACCACTGCCAATCCCAGGAGTCAGAGTGTGACACGCGCTCACTTTTGTACCCTACTGAGTTCCCCCCTGTGCTGGGTCTCCCAGTCAACTGCTGAGCAGAGAGCCTGGGACGCACCCTGGGTATCTTTTCCAAAGAGGGAGAAACTGAAGGATCCTGAAACCCTGAACTTAGAACTGGCCAGATATCCATGAGATACTTATTCTAATCAATGTTTTCATGCTTTTTTTTTTCTTTTATCTTTTTAGTAACTAGCATTAGGAGAGTGAGGATTTGTGCCAGGAATTATGCCATCATCTCATTTTGGTCCTCATACCCGATGAAGTTGGAATGAGAGCTGATGGGCACATGGAAATTGAATGAGCGAACGGGTTCCGTCCCATCTGAAGACGCAGAGACTGAGCTCAGTGTGGTTAGCTCACTTGCCCGGGGAAGTTGCACAGGAAGTAGCCCAGAGGGACCCAAGCCCAGGCTCCTCTGCATCCCACACTCTTAACCCAGCTGCCTCAAAGGGTCCTGGCTGCACCATGGTCCAAGGCCATCTGCAGGAGTGTCCCTGCATGAATGTGGTAGCAGAGTGAGCATGGATGCCCTGTCCCTGATGTGTGCCCGCATCCCAGGGCCCTGTGCCACCTGGCAACCACCAGAACCCACCCCTGCTCCCTCCATTCAACTCACAGAGAAGAATGAGCGCGACCACGAGGGCGATGAGGAGGAGGACACACCCGATGAGCGGCAGCTGCTTCTGGCTCTCCTGCCAGGAGAACTTGGGCAAGCCGAGACCTAGGAGCAGGGCAGCAAGGGAGGTAAGGCTGCTGGGGAGGAGTCTGGCAGGAGGAGAAGGAGGCAAGGCTGGCCCGGCACCCAGAATATGCCTCCACCCTCCTGATACCAACCCTTTTATGCACTCCTCTGGGCCAGCCAGGCACTTTGCATGTGTCCTCTAACTTCATTCTCATAGTATCCTTGTCAGCTGAGGCCCATTTTATAGATAGGGAAACTGAGGCTCATGGAAATGAAATAACTTGCCCAAGGTTGCTTGGCTAGGGAGTGACCGGGCAGAGGATCACATGCAGTGTGTCTGATTCCAAAGCCCACTCAGAAGAAAGACTGGGATGGTCCCCAAATCTCTTTGGCAAGGAAAAACCTAGCACAGGGGGGAACCTCAGTAGGGTGCAAAATGAGCACATATCACAGAGCCTTGTCCTCAGGGAGCTTAGACTCCTAGGGGCAGGGGCTGGAAATACCTGAGGCCAAATGTGTCTGAGTGGGACTGTGAGGAAGAGGTTTGGAGACCATGGCGGTCGGTCACAGATATCAACCAGGCCTGCCTGTCTTGGGTTTTCATGTGACGCTTCCTCTCTGCCTTTGTCTCCCCAGGTCCCTCACAGCCCACCCTGGCCATGCCCAATGTCACTACCCCAGAGGCCTGAGGAGCAGAGAGCGCCAGCTGAGATCTCCTGTCACCCACCGACTGCTTCCCTGTTCCTCCTGCCCTCCCTGCCCCTCCTGCCCTCCCTGCCATGTCCCCCTTACCTGGGCTCTCCCCGCTGGCCCTGGTGGCTGGCGCTGACCTGGCAGGAGATGCCCGGACTGGGACAGCCCCCACTGGTGTCGCTCTGACAAGACACACTCTTGTTGGAGAGGACGTCGTGGAGGCTGACCTGGCCGATGATGACCCTCCGGATGACGACCTGGATGGAGCCCGCGCAGGAGACGTCCTTGCTGGAGAAGCCCGGGCTGGGGGTGTCCTTGCCGGGGAAGCGTTCTATAACAGAACAGAGGGCGTCCCTCAGGCGGGGCCAGGGGATAAATGGACAAGGGCTGGGGGTGGACAAGGAAGCACCTGAGAAGACATGAGCAAGGGGAGAGAGAGTGCTGGCCCCGGCTCCCCGACAGGGACCCGCAGAGGTGGGCGGAGGGCAGGGGGCCATGTGCTGTGGGCTCGGGGCACCTCCTCAGGCTGTGTGTAGAGGGAGGGTCAAAGAAGGGGCTGCCGGGATGCACACTCTCTCTGAGATGTGGGATGGAGGAATCCTGTCCCCTGTGGGAAAGTCACCACCCCCTCACTTCCTCCTACACCCCCATCCTTTTCTTTCATGTATGTGTTAAATTATAAAATACTGTCTCACTATAAGCTTTTGTGAAAAAGTAAAACACCCTGCTTAAGGAAAGCCCTCAGCTGCCCTGACAAGCCCCCATTCTCAGTCCCACTGGATCTTGCAGGCATATGCGCATGCGCACGAATCCGCCAGGAGCCTCAAGAGGCAAGAGGCAAGGGAAGAAGGTACAGGCTGGGGTGCGGCTCCCCCATGCTTGGACAAGGACCTTAGTTGGAGTGGTTCTTAATTTATATTTACTGTGTTAATTTATATGTACAGAAGACTTAATGTGCTTTAAGCCCTTTATATATATATATATATATATATATATATATATATATATATATATATATATATATATATATATATATATATATATTTCCTCATTTAATCCTCTTAACAATCCTATGAGGCAGGAACCATTATTATTCCCATTTTGCACAGGGAGGAACAGAGGTGGAGGGATGAAGCAGCTTGATCAAGTTCTCAGAGCTGGAAAGTAGCAGAGTCAGGACTTGACCCAGAAAGTTGGCGTCCAGGGCTCCTGGCGGAGGGCTATACCAAGAAAGGCAACAGCTGGAACTTCAAGGGCAGTCAAAGAACAGCCAGTGCTGCTCCTCTCTGGAAAGCCCTGGGAGAGGGAGCTGGTGGGCAGAAGTCCCTCTGACCTCCCTCCTGCATCTCTGCCTCTTCAGTCCCCTTCTGAGCCTCCAGAGCAGGAACTGACCTGGCTCCCGGGCTACATCTGACAGTCATTGTAACATCTGCTGAGAATTGATTGGCTGCTTAGGAGGGCAGCTTCCCTGGGGACACTCGAACAGTGGAGGAAGCCCACCTAGGCTTGGAGACCCAGGGCTGGGGAGGGCACTAGCTCTCTTGGGCCTCCATTTCCATCCCTCACCAACCACACATTGAACATCCTTCCCAAGTAGACCAGACCCCAATCTTCCTCATGGGCACATCCGGCCCGAGCGCACCCCTCATCCTATTTGGTTTTACTTTTTATATATCTTTGAAAAACTTTTTAAAAATTTGTTTTATTTAGTTATAAATGACAGCAGAATTCATTTCAATTCATTACACACAAATGGAGCACAACTTTTCTTTCTCTGGTTGTACACGATGTAGAGTTGCATCGTACGTGCATCATTATATGTACCTACGGTAATGATGTCCATCTCATTCCACCTTATTTCCTGTCCCCATGTCCCTGCCCCTCTTCTCCCTCCCCTTTGTCCAATCAAAATTTGTCCATTCTTCCCACTCCCCCACCATTATGGATCAGCATCCACTAATCAGACAGAAATTTGGCCTTCAGTTTTTGGGAATTGTCTTACTTCACTTAGCACTATATTCTCCAACTCCATCCATTTACTTGCAAATGCCATAATTTTATTCTTTTTTAAGGCTTAGTAATATGCCACTGTGTATATATACCACAATTTCTTTATCCATTCATCTGTTGAAGAACATCTAAATTGCTCCCGTAGTTTAGCTATTGTGAATGGAGCTGCTATAAAATGTTTATTGATGTGGCTATGTCACTATAGTAGGCTGATTTTAAGTCCTTTGGGTATAGACTAAGGAGTGGGATAGCTTGGTCAAAAGGTGATTCCATTCCACATTTCCTGAGGAATCTCCATACTGCTTTCCAGAGTGGTTGCATCAATTTGCAGTCCTACCAGCGATGTATGAGTTGTACCTTTTCCCCCACATCCTCGCCAATACTTATTATTGCTTATATTCTTGATAATTGCCATTCTGACTGGAGTGAGATGAAATCTTAGAGTAGTTTTGATTTGCATTTCTCTAATTACTAGAGAAGTTGAACATTTTTTCATATATTTGATAATCAATTGTATATCTTCTTCTGAGAAGTGTCTGTCCAGTTCCTTGGCCCATTTATCTTGGAAATTAGTGTTCTATCTGACGTTCGTGTAGTAAAACTGCTCTCCCACTCTGGGTGCTGAAAACATACATTGGTGAAAAGATAGCCTTGTCAACAAATAGTGCTGGGAAAACTGGAAATCCATATGCAGCAAAATGAAATTAAATCACTATCTCTCACCATGCACAAAACTCAAGTCAAGTGGATCAAGGACTAGGAATTAGACTAGAGACCCTGCGTCTAACAGAGGAAAAAGTAGGCCCAGATCTCCATCACGTCGGATGAGGTCCTGCCTTCCTTAACCAGACTCCTAAAGTGCAAGAAATAAAATCAAAAATTAATAAATGGGTTGGATTCAAACTAAAAAGCTTCTTCTCAGCAAGGGAAACCATCAATAATGTGGAGAGAGAGCCCACAGAGTGGTTGTACTTTATAAATTCCCTCTTCTGCGAGTCAGAAGTAATCGTTTGGGGGTATGTCCTCATTTTTCTGGGGGGTGAGGGATGAATGCAAGGAAGAATCCCCGGTTCCTGGCCACAAGTGACTTTGCAGAGACACTGAGCGCTGCTGCCTGGCAGGCTGGCCTGGGCGAGCAGGGACGGGCTCGGGTGCATCTGGGGACCTGAAGCCAGCTGAGCCAGAGCTGAGGCCACCTCTCATGGCCATTGTCTAGAGCCAGGTTTCCATGAGACAAAGGTTAGACTCTGGCCACTCTAAGCAGAACAGGACTGGGGTCGGGACGAAGGTGGAAATGGGGACAGTTGGTGGCACTGGTGTGGGTCAGGCAGACCTGGGTCTCAACCCTGGGTCTATTACTCAGTAGCAATGTGACTTTGGGCCAGTGCTTTAATTCTCTAAGCCTTTTTTTTCTTCACCTATAAAATACCCCGTAGGGGCATCCTTGCTGGAATCTGGCGCACAGAAAGTTCTAGAAAATGGCTATTTCTCTCCCCCTTTCCCTGAAGCACACAGCATCAACCATGCCTAGATCAACAGCCACGGACGTGATGAGTGGCAGGTATGGGCTGAGTGGTGGGTGAGTTCATCTTAGGGAGGAAAAGCAGGTTGCTTGGCAAAGCCAGGGTCAGGTCCCACCCATGTAAGACCCTGAGCTTCCCACCTGCTAGGGACCCTGGCATGACAGGGCCTCCGATGACCCACCTGGTCTCTCTCCTAAGTTCACACTCTACTTTTTCCCATCTTCAAGGGTATTTCCCATCGTTCAGATAATAAAATACTAATCACTCATAAGTAGACGGCACTTTAGAGTTTACAATTGACTCACAAGGTCCTCATCTCATCCTGAAAAGCTGATCATTCTGGAAGCCTATTTTGCAGATAAGTAAGTCAAGGCTCAGAGCTAGATTACCAGAATCCCCCAGGACTCCCCTCTGGCTTACTTGCATGAGTTCCTGCCCCTCTTGAATCAGGAGAGCCTCCCAGTGCAGTCTGCTTATGCTTAAGGTGCTCATTTCGCATTTGGCACTCAGCCAAAGAACTGGGACCACCAAAGAACTGGGACCTGGGGCCTGGTAGGGCCAGCAGCTCCATTGGGAACCCAGAGGTTCCCACAGGGAAGTCAGTCTAGTGGAACCTTCTGGCATGAACCATGGTTGAGCCCTGTGACCTGCCAGGACTGCGCAGAACATAGTGACCTAGGGCAGTGCCGTCACAGTTAGTGACTGTGCTGGAATCCAGCTGTGTGACATTGGACAAGTGACTTCGCCTGTCACGACTCAGCTTCCTTATCTGTGGGATCCAGTTCACCCTGCTCCATAGCATGGTTGTCATAGGTGATATACACAAAGCACTTGCTGAAAAGCACTAGGGGCTTGGGTGACTTGACTGTGCTGGGGTTGCTCGCTGTGGTTTGGGAGTGCTGGCCTTGGAACAGGTTGTTTCTAACTGGGTTTCCTTGGGCAAGTAACATGGAGCCCATCAGAGCCTGGCTCCATATCTGTAAAGTGGGCTTAATCTCACCCCCTTCTCAGGTACATGGGGAAGTACAGGAAAGATCCTGGTCTATAAATGTGTGTTCAACTGTAATAAAGCTAACAGTCCACTAGGGACTTTGCTGCATCCTATTTCAACCCTCTGACAGCTCTTTGTGGTTGGTATCATGAGCCCCATTTTACAGATATCAAAACCAAGGTCCAGGGAGGTTAAGGATACGCCAGGTTCACATACCAGGGAAGGGACACGGCTTGGATTCTAACCATGTCTGCTAGGAGCAAGTAGAGTCTTGACCAACAGTATCACAGGTGCCCAGGGGAATTTCCTTCCTCTCTTCAGGTTAGTATTTGTGAAGCTTCACCTACACTGTTTCCTTTGATCCTCACAAGGCTCCTAGTGAGCAAGCTGGGCAGTATGATTGTCCCCAGTTTCTACAAGAGGAACTGGGGATCAGGGGGACTGAGGAGTAGGCCTACCCCACCCCCAACCTCTAACATAATCTTTGCAATCCCAGGGAAGAGCCCAGGCTGTCTCCACCTGAATGTGACTATGACCCTGGGACCCTGGGACCCTGGGACCTCATCCTGAGGGGTACAACAAAGGGCTGGGCTGGAAAAGAAGGTGTTGAGAGGGTCTCAGGGGGCGAGACACTGAGGAAGATGGCGGGAGGATGGGGGTGCATTCATGATGCTGGAGCAGCCCAGGGTTAGACCAGGGGGGAGGGTGTCGGCGGGCATGCTGCGAAGTGGGAGCAGCCAGCATGAGCAAAAGTGCAGCCGCCCTGAGCCGGGTGTTCAGCCCTGGTTTTGGCAGAGCGTGCCCTCT